TGGGACTCATGACCTCAACAACTTGTCATTCAACAGGCTGTTTGTAGCTCCACCCCCCTGGGGCGGAGCTACAAACAGCAAAGCAGCAAGAATCTGGGCTCTCTAGAATTTCTGCTGCATGCCGTGAATCCAGGCTCTCCCCAAGAACTCAGGAGGGGCCCATCCTGAGTCGTAGGAGAGCGGAGATGTCCTGGGGGGTGGAAGGCAACCACCCTTCAGGTCATCCTTTCCCCAGACAGAGGATTCTGCTGACGGTATTTTCTAATGTCGTCTTAGCTGTGAAGCTCCGCGGGCAGGAGGGAAGCATATATTGTTTATATATATTTATTGTCTTATGTTGTTAGCCGCCTAGAGTGGTCTCAATCGACTAGATAGGCGGGATATAAACAAACAAGCAAACAAACAAATAAATAAATAAATAAATAACCTATGAGAAGTTCCAGTCTAAAAGTATTAGGAGGGCCTCATATTCCTTACCCCCCCCAATAGAGCCTTTATGGAGCTCTTGCCTGAGCTTTTGCTTATCAAAATGAAAACTTGTTTTATCAAAGCCCCAAAATGTTACATCTCCAAAACAAAAACAAAAAGATTTCAGAATGGGCCATCCCTTCAAATGTATCAGTCTGAACTTTAAATAAAATTGTAAAAAAAAAAACCTTTTTTGAATGGAAAACAAGAGTACCTTAGGATATGAACCAATAATATAATTAAGAATACAGGATGTGCACACAAGCGACAGCCTGTTTTTATTGATTTATCAGATGTTGGGTCTTAATTGGGGACCCTTGCAGTTAGTTTTTGTTGAAATTGCTGTGGAACGTTAATTGTGGCTAACTTAAATCCCACTGCCTTCAGTGAAGCCTAAGCGTGACCAGTTTACTTGCAGAGTTTAAGGATGTCATAAACTGTGGAGGAGGGAAACATAATTTTTTGCTGATGTCATAAAACCACGTCAAGTTCTTTGTTGGTGGGGTCGGTTCTAAAATCTTCTCTGTTCTTACTACACATATATCCCACTTTTCTCCCATCATGGAACTCAATAGGACATAATAATAGTAACACTAATAAATATGTGTGGTCAAGTCAATTTTAACCTATGGCAACCTATGCCAGGGATTCTTAGGTATAACTTATTCATAAATGATTTACCAGTTCCTTCTTCTGGAGGTGCCCTCGGATTCTGCAGCTTGCCTAAGTCTATACAGGCTGGCTCTTCTTAGGGGACACACAATGGGGAATCAAATACCTGACCCCTGGTCCTGCAAGCATATACATCATCTCACTGAGCTCTCTAGTCAACTCATGCATAGGGTTCATTGACCCTAGCCTATCCAAGCACTGGCAAGACCCAGGCCAGCTTTCTTGTAGCTGGGTGACTTTTCCATATGGCTTCAGCTCAGAATGTGGACTGCCACCTTTGAACAATTAACAAGCTACAATTCAGTAGAGTCCAGTTTTTCTAAATACCTTCATTGTGGAACCAAAGCAGTCCTCCAAAATAAAATGAAAGTTAACGTTTGAAGGAAACTTTAGTCTCATCAGATGAACTATCATTACTACAAATATTTTTATACTCACCTCTTGGAGAGTGAAGTCGCTGAAGTGACTGAGAAAGTCCACCTTAGTGGTAGCCGCTGTAGAAAGTCGCATGAAGACAGAGAAATTGTGGAGGAATTTCAGGATCTCTTTGTCGTCTTTGTTATTTTTTAAGGCAGCTATTTTTTACAGTCTTTGCTGCAAGGCAGCAGTTCGGCTTGTTGGCAAGAGGCTGTTAGCATCATTTCTGTGATCAGTACCTCACTTTTGTTTGTCCTTCTCCAGCTTGCCCTTCAGACTGGGCGGGAGCCACCGCCAATTTGGCGGGTACAGAAAGCTTTGCTTCAGAAGTTCACTCCTGAAATCAAGGATGGCCAGCGTCAGTTTTGCGCTACCAGCAATGTAAGTTTCCTTGCCGCCTGGCCCATCTCGAGGATACAGTACTTGTGTGCTTTGCTTCCATTCATCATGTAGGTTCATAATCACATTGATCACAGATGGGGGAATTTTAGCTTCAGAGGTGGGGGAGGGGGGGGCTCATGGGTTTGCATAATTATATGGAGAATCTTGGATGTAACTCAGTTTTTTGATAACCCCACCCTAATTTTGAACCTTATTTCTTCTTCTTCCATCCATGGTGGAAGAAATAGCTCCCCTCTTCCAGCATGCTTTTCTGCCTTGATCATGGCATGAAGGCGGTGGACTCTCCTTCATTGGAGGTGTCTGGAGAGTGACTGGATTGTCTACTATCAGAGATTCTTTAGATTTCCTGCCGCAACAGGTGGGGTTGGTCTAGGTGACCCCTTGGGATCCCTTCCAATTCTCTGAAGCGGAATCTAATGCAAATGACTTTTTATGGGTGATGAAATGAGTTAGTGCATCCTACTGACACATACATGTCGCCAATTTTGTACTTGGGGTGATCTCTGCAGGCATTTGGGCTTCATCTAGTTATAGTCTCAGGAAATGGGTTGGATTTTCAGCTCCATGTCTCTCCCCTGGAGGAGGGAAAGTCATGTGTGGAAGCTTCTCCCCTTTCATCACCCTTTTTGACATTCAATGCCTTTCTTTCATGCTTGACCTGCTCAGTATCTGGGCTACTTTGGCGATGCTAAGAACCGGTACCAACGACTCTATGTCAAATTCTTGGAGAACATCAACAAGAAAGATTATGTACGTGTCTGTTCGAAGAAGCCTTGGCACCGGCCCCTGCAAGCTGTAAGGTAAAGAGGCAAGAGGGGAGGGCTTTTTTTTAATTTTTTATTTTTTATTTTTTGTGAGAGCCCAGTTGCAATAAAGGAAGCAGCAGGGGAAAAAACACGCCCTGTTGCTCTTTTTCTTCATGTGAACTTTTTCCAGTGAAGGCAGATTTAAGAAAGGCCATTTTCTGTTCTGATTTTTCACACATACCCCCTTGCTGTCACCCTTCAGCTCCTGTTTCTATCAGCCTCTGTTATTTCACATCACATGTTAGGAGGTTTGGCTATTGCCTCTTTCATAGTCCCTCCAGAGTTTAGCTTTTTTTTTTTTTACTTCTCACCTGCCTTATCGTCTAGCACACTGGTTCTCAACCTTGGCTTACTCAGGAGTTGTGGACTGCAACTCCCAGAAGCCTTCACCACCAACTGTGCTGGCTGGGGTTTCTGGGAGTTGCAGTTCAAAAACACCTGAGTAACAAAGGTTGGGAACCTAGGATCTAGCAAGTTCCCTATTCCTCACTTGATGTACCTTTCACATGGCCACAAAAATATTGGCTCAGCTGTATAAAGACCTTATAGCTTTGCTCTCCTCACTAGTCTGTGTCTATTTTGGCCCTGGGCCTTGTTCTGTCCCCTGTTGCTTCTGACTAAATAGTAGCCTATCTGAAGGTTTTGTCGTTTGCACAAACTGACAGGGTTTGAACTTAATCTTATTCACTTGGCTGACCACTCACTCAACTTCTTATTGACTCTTCCCCAAATTGTGTTTGTGTCTCAGTAAACTTGGCCCCCTCAGATTAGCTCAGGCCATTTATGCCCCTGAGGCATGAATGGAAGACTGTCCTTGGGTGTCACAAATGTGTTTCTCCCTTTGCAGGAGGCAGAGTCAGCCCAAGGCTTGTGGTCCCAAGGCTCCAGTGGCACCAAAAGTGGAGAAACCTGAGAAGCCAGAAGTCCCAGAAAAGGCCGAGAAACCAGACAAGCCACCCAAGGCTGAAAAACCACCCAAGGCTGAAAAGACCGAGAAACCTGAAAAGCCCCCCAAGGCTGAGAAGGCACCTAAGCCAGAAAAGCCTGTCAAGGCTGAGAAGTCTGAAAAGCCCCCCAAGGCAGAGAAAGTGGGCAAGACAGAGAAGCCCCCCAAAGTAGAAAAGACAGACCCCCCTGTGCCCGTGCCCACAAAAGCTGTCCCAGCCGGTGGAGCCTCTAAACCCAAACCTAAGCCAGCCAAGGTGAAAGCTGAGCCACCTCCCAAGAAGAGGAAAAAATGGCTTAAGGAGGCCGCCTCGTCCTCTGACTCAGATTCCAGCCCTGACCAGCAGAGCGAGGAAGGTAAGTAGAACAGGGCAGGCATAGTATCCGGAACTGGTTGGTGGCCAGAGATCGGGTAGTCCAAGAGATGAATCGAGGAACCCCAGTCATGGCACGGGAAGTTGAGAAGAAGAATTTTAGCAAACCTTTGAGAGAGGAGTACATTCAGGGTGCAACTGAGAAGCTAGGAATCGGTCAGGCAGCGTGTGGCCTTTTAGACATTGTTCTTCTGTCGTTCCCACCAGCCCTTAACATGGGCTGTGGTGGCTAAAACAGATTAGAGTGGAAGCCAGGTAGCACCTGAGAAGGGTGCCTTCTGAATGATTATAGAGCTCGACTGAGGGAAATTCTGAAGAACTGGCAAATGGGAGATAATCTGAGAGACGTGTCCTTTTTTCTGTAATGGGGTGCATATCTTGAATGAGAGAAAATTCCCAACCAGGTCAGAATATTTTTTTTCTCCCCTTGGTTTTGTTGGATGGTTTTGGTTTTTTGCACCTGTTTTGTGGTGAGCTATAGATAGATAACATATTTGGGTTTTTTTTTTATTGTAATTTTTTAAAACTGTGCTTTGTTTTTCTTCTAGCAACCTTGAATGTTTAAGAAATGCTTCCTGAACTTTAATGAGAGTCAAGGTATAAATTCCTTAAATAATAAGCCAGTTCTCTATTTTGTTTCTAGAACGTGTGCCGACAGGTCGTATTCTCAATACACGAGCCATGAAGGAGATGTACCGTAGTTATGTGGAAATGCTGGTCAGCACTGCCCTTGATCCGGACATGATCCAAGCTCTTGAGGATACAAATGGTATGCTTGCTTGCTTAGTGGTACCTTGTACATTGATTGGTACGAGGGTCAAGGGAGCCCTTTCTGAGCCAAAGTCATTTTGTGTCTATAGGGTAGTACTTGGGTGGTAGAGGTAATATCTTGCACTAGAAACTGCCTAGGTATGGACTGTTGCCATAATAAGTGCTTAAAAACTTGCTGTTTGCTTAAGAAGCAGAAGAAAAATAATTCCAGAATTTGAGCTGTAAATCGTGACCTTAACTTCTTGCTCCTAGAGTACAGTTTTGTTCTGGTTGTAGTGTTTGGAGTATGTGGAGTATGGAGATACATCTTAGAACATGGTTAGAGTTTTCCTTTAAAAGAATGCATTTTCTTCATGTACCAAAGAGTCCTGTGATTTAAATACTTGACAAACTGATCATGGTGTAAGTTTTGTTGACGTCTAACATCAGCAATACCTTTCAATAAAGTGGTTTTAGAAGAGGTAGTGGTCTTAGTCTGTGCTAGTATATGAGGAAAAAACAAAAGCTATACAGTGGTGCCCTGCTTGACGACGATAATCCGTTCCAGGAAAATTGCTGTTAAGCGAAATCATCGTCAAGCGATTAAAAAATCCCCATTGGAATGCATTGAAAACTGGTCAGTGCATTCCAATGGGGGAAATACCTCATCGTCCAGCGAAGATTGCCCATAGAGAACTGCCGATTAGCTGTTCTGATTCGCTGTAATGCGAAGCTTCCATCCGGAAAGCAGCCATTTTGAGAAGGGAGGGAAGCCATTTTGCAGAACCGGAAAAAACATTGTTTTGCAAACAAACGGTTTGTGAAGCAGGCTCCTAATCAACGTAATGCGAAAAAACACATTGGAACCATCGTTTTGCAATCGCAATAGCGGTCGCAAAAATGTCATCATCAAGCGATTTTGATGTCATGTGGGGTAAGCGTCTAGCGGGGCACCACTGTATAAACAATAAATGAAACAAAAACATTGTAGCACCTTAAAGACTAAATGATGTATTTTCATGGGAGCTTTTGTGGACAAGTCCACTTCCTCAGACAATTTCAATAAAGTGTCTTCTTACCCAAGGGTTCCAACAACTGTAGAAATCAAATGTGGCATTTAAATCTTGTTGTGCCTCTTCCCTGGATTGTGCAGACTTCCAGCCAAAAACATTTCCTTTATACAGGGTGCTAGGTGTCTGTGCCCCCGGCCATACATTTCCCCCCTCCATCACGCTAGATGCTTTTAATGCCCCGTATGACGTATTTTGATAATTCTCCCACAGATGAACTTTATCTCCCGCCCATGAGGAAGATTGATGGGATATTGAACGATCACAAGAAAAAGGTGCTGAAGAGAGTGTCCCTTAGTCCGTCGCTACAGGTGTGGAAAAGGAGCAAATGGAATTTTCTTATTCTCTCAGAGATTATATTGTTTAGGGATGTTATAATGGCTGAAATCCTGTTGCTTTGCTTGACAAAAGGCATAATTGAAATCCTCTGTTTCCTTCCCAGTCAACAAATAAGAGAGTCCACGGTGTGATTCTTGAGCACACACTAAGTCACTGGGTGTGCAGACCCATAAGAATCACAGTGGTGAATATTTACTTGCTGACTTGGAAGGAGCGAAAGTGTCACCTTCTGTGATGCCAAGCAATAGCATTTCTGCCTTTAGAGGTCTAGTTTGCTTTTCTACCGAGGATTAGCTTGAAGCTTCCTTTCTCATTCATGATTGCAACGAAGAGAAGGAGAGAAAGTGAGGGCTGAGATGTTTGCAAGAGGTCCATGGTTTTAATCCCTGGGCAAGCTTTTCTCGACCTTTAGATTTTGGACTACAACTCCAAAAATTCCTGACCATTGGCTGTGCTGCTAGGATTGTGGTTAATTGAAGTCCAAAACATCTGGCAGGGCTGAGAAAATGGATGTTTCGACAAATGACAGCTTTCCAAGCTCTGCTGTCCAATAGGAAGAGGCTGACCTAGATCAATTTAACTTAGACCTCTCCTTTAAGTCCAACATAGAAGAACTTACACATTCTCCAAATGAGTCTGCGTGCTGCCTTTGAGGTTGCAGTTTTCATGGGCTTTTGCAGTGCAACCCTTCTATAACAGCTTTGTTTTTTCAGTCTCAAAGTAATTTGTAAAACCCACTTTAAAGCAGAAAGGCCCACTGGCTGGACTCAGGACTGTTCTGAATTATCTCTCTTTTTTTTTTTTTACTTTGCTAGTTTGTGGCAAGAGTCTAGTTTGTATTTATTGGAAAGGAGATTATTTTCCAACTTGGGATGGTTGTTGAGTCCTTTGGTCCCTGGGCTTATCCAACATACAGACCTTTTATACAGGTCTAAAAATAATTACATTTTCTGTACTCTAATGGCAAGCATCCTGGCTTGAATATAGTGGTTGAGTAGGAAAAGGCCACTTTTCTTACATAATCATCAGGGGAAAAATTGTCGTTCCTGCATAGTTTGGAAGCATTAATGGAATGATTTGTAGCCTCCTGCAATGGCAGGTTGTCAAAACAAAGGGATGACAGCAGATGTTGGAGCTATGTAGCAAGGAGTGACATGGGACTAATTCTTGAGGATCATCTGCTTGCCAAGGCAGTAAGGTTCTAGCCTGTGCTTCTACAGTTTTTCTGGATTTGCTTGCAGTTCCAGCCTCCCAGTGGCTCTGGGAGTAAGAGGTGTATGCCTGGCTCCCGCTTGAAGCCCTGGGCACTGATGCCCATTCCTTAAGAAAATGGGAAGTAGATTGATTTTCTTACATTGATAGTTTAATGGAGTATCCTTTTTTCTCTAGTCATCCCTTAACTGCAATCTTTTCTCTCTGGAGTTTCTGATATTTTTATCAATGGCTCTTAATTTCTCCATCTTTTGGGAGTGCCTTTTGAGGTGACATGGAAATGATAGACTCACTTTTAACACTTTGCTCCCCATGCAGGAGGCACTCCACACATTTCCCCAACTCCATGCTGAGACATGTGATGCCACAGTCAAGTTGTGCCCAGGTGGTGAACCTTACAACCGCAAGACACTCAACAAACTCAAAAAGAATGTATCCAAACCGCAGGTAGGTGTTGGGAATCACCATCGTATAATGAATCCGTGGTAAACTTACTGGTTTTACGTTGATTCCTGTTTGTGTCTTGCTTTTACTCCAGGACATTCAAAGGCAGTATATGTGTGCGATGCCAAGTGTGGTGTAGTGCAGTGGTTCTTAACCTTTGTTACTCGGATGCTTTTGAACTGCAACTCCCAGAAACCCCAGTCAGGACAGCTGGTGGTGAAGGCTTCTGGGAGTTGCAGTCCAAAACTCCTGAGTAACCCAAGGTTAAGAACCAGTGGTGTAGTGGATAGAGTAATGGACTAAGACTCAGGAGGCCTGGGTTTGAATCCCTGATCGGCCATGGAAACCCACAGGAAGTGTGGAACCTCTAAAACCACTCCTTAGATATCTCACCTTGAAAGCCCTCTTAGGGTCACCATCGCTTGAAAGTGCATAGCAACAAATTCATGTACTCTCTTTTTCCCCATTTTATCCACATATCCCTATGAAGTGGAAAGAACACGACAGGTCCAGCATTACACAAAGAGAGCTTCATGGCTAAGTAGCAGTTTGATAGGTCTTCCTGCTCATACTGTGACGTACTAGCTCAGGGTAGGAAACGTTGGTCACTAGGCCTAATTTGGCCCCCAGACAGTCCAAAACCAGGCATGGAAGGCCCAGAAGATACCCATCTTCTACCTCAAACCCACTCCTGGAACAAGGAGGATTCACACACACACTACTTGTTTTTGCAGTTAGGAAAGAAAATAGCGTAAGGGGAAGATCACAGTCTTATCACTCATCACTGATTAGGGATAACTAGGGGATTATCTCTTTCCCCCATCATTGGAAAAGTGAGTAGTGCAGGAGCGGGAAGATCCCCATGTTATCCTTGGGGAATTGCCTTCATGGGCTCCTTGCTGTCTAGTGGACCTTTAATGGAACAGTGAAATAAATTACAGAATCATGTAGAATGCAAGAGTTCCATCTTGCCAGACGCCATCCTGTTCCTTAAGCAATGGAGGTGGTGTTGTAAGCGGGACTGTTAATCCTTGCTCAGCTCGAAAATAAGGCCAAAAAAAATTGTACATGAAGTCTGTATATGTACTTTTGAAGAACTACAGCGGATGCTGCACCAGTGGCAATGCCCATGGGAGTAGCTGAACAGAATGTTCAAATGCAGAAAGTAGCCTGTCCTTGACAAACCAGTGCAGTGCTAGTTATGGCTTTGAATCACAGTATTGGCCATCTCTTTAGCAAGTTGGGGAGTGATTGCTGTACTGATTTTCAGGCAGGTGAGAGAACAGTTAGACGTGTAAAGATAGTTGTTTTTCTTATTTGCTAACTTGAAGGCCTCGGGAGGTTCACAGAGTATGAGGGAGTTCCGTTTCTCTAACCTTAAGCAGAAGTAGCGTATCTCTGAACACAGATTCCAGATCTGTGTGCCATGAACTTTCCTAATCTTTTTTGAAAAGCTGTGTGTGTTCATTGCCACAGGATGTTGTGACAGCCACTAATTCTGTCTCTTAATTGTGCATTGAATATGAGTATCAGTAATGAATTTCACATCTATTTGTCATAATACCCCAACTCACTTTAAGTCTCCTTCTCTCCTATTCCAGTAAACCAGTGCCTTATTTCTATGTACAGTGGTGCCTCGCTAAACGGACGCCCCGTTTAACGACGAATCCACATAGCGACAAAGATTTTGCGATCGCAACACTAAAAATAAAAATAAAAAACATTTAGGTTCAATTGTATGAATGACACTGGTGGCAAGTAAAGGAAATTAGTTGATATATACACTGAAATTGTTATGATTTCAAAGCAGCCGAACATCCCAGACACTTACAAATTTAAGAGTTTTGCTTCGAATACATGTATGTGGAATCTCTTGCATTTACATAGCCTTTTACTGGGTTCCTAGTGAAAAATAATGGAACTAGATAAAAGGCAAATAGGCAGAATATCTGCTTTTTAGCCAAAGTAATTACCATTAATACCGTATTTTTCGCTCCATAAGACGCACCGGACGTTAAGACGCACTTAATTTTTAAATACCAAAAATTAAAATAAAATAAAAATATATAAACAGAGCAAGTCCCATGCTGGGACTGCAAAAAAGTACCAAAACACAAAGCAACATAGAAACATAACCCCCAGCCCAAACCTACCCTCCAAAACCCACCCAGAACAATTTTTTTAAAAGGAAAAAGCAGCACCTTACGGCCGCCGTGATTGGTGCCTTCAGAGGCCTCCCAGGGCTTCTCTGCCACCATCGGAGGCTTTCCTAGGGTTTGCTGCAAGTGCCGCCTTTCTCCCCAGCTGCATGGCTTCTCCGCCACCATGGAAGGCTTTCCCAGGGTAGACCGGGCCTACCAGGGGAAGCCCTAGGTAGGGGCTCATCCCCTGGTAGGCCCAGTCTACCCCAGAAAAGCCTGTGTTGGTGGCGTGGAAACCCTGGCCCGGCAGCAGGTGGTGGCAGAGAAAGGCGGTGCTTGCGAAAATAATGATTGAGGATCACAGCAGGTTAACTGTCCTGGTTCAGGATAGGCCTTGAGAAAGTTTAAGAGGGAAGGTGGAGTGGTGGTGTTTGAATCACTGTGAGGGGAAACATGTCAAGATACAGAATAAGTACAGTGGTACCTAGCTTAACAATGTTAATTCATTCCAGCGAAATAGCTGTAGAGCGAAAACATCGTAAAGTGAAAATTAAAAACCCATTGAAACACATTAAAACCCGGTTAATGCGTTCCAGTGGGCTAAAAACTCACCGTCCAGCGAAGATCCTCCATACGGCGGCCATTTTCGGTGCCTGTCTAGTGAGGAATCTGTCCTAGAAAACGGGGGGGGCATTTTCTTCAGCTGGTGGCCATTTTGGAACCCGACAATCAGCTGTTTGCTGATCATCGTAATGCGAAAAATTGGTTCCCGAAGCAGGGAACTAATCATCACACAGCGGATTTTGCCCATAGGAAGCATCGTTTTGCGATCGCTTTTGCAATCACAAAAAAGGCATCGTTAAGCGGATTGTCGTTATATGGGGAAATCTAAAGCGAGGTATGACTGTAACACTCTCTCTCTCTCTCTCACACACACACACACACGCACACGCACGCACACACACACACTTTCTATATATCCACTTTTCATTGCCAGCACCTCTTTTTTTTCAAAACCTCTATCAGAGCCAGAGGGGCAGAGAATGTTGAATGCCATGGAATCAAAAGCATAAGGTTGATCCTAGAGTTTCAGGCAGTGGGGAAAAGATGTGTCCATAGTAACAGGGAGAAAGTGTTGTTTTAGCGGAAGGTAGAAAAGGAAGATAAGGCAGAGGGGCAAGCCAGCCAATTAGGAGCTTGTAATGGACGTGGGGAGGTGGGAACTTCAGCATGATTGTATCATCCAGGGCAGGAGTGAGCAACTATGATCCTCCAAAATTTTTGGACTTCTGGTTCTTGGTGTCCTTCATCATTGCCCATGTTGGCTTGGTCTGCAGGGACTTGGAATCCCAACAACATCTGAAGGACCATAGTTACTTAATCCTGATCTAAGGAGTGAAAGGTATGATTCTGAGATGTTACTACGATTGTGAATGTGAAGAGGTTGGAGAATGAGGAGGAGGGGAAAGCAGTGCAATGTGAATTTGTTGATTGATAATCTCACCCTCCTCTCTTTGCACCAATAGGAATTCAGTGTGGAAGTGGAGAAGTCCTTTTTCTACACTCTGTACCATTCCCTTCACCACTACAAGTACCACACCTTTCTGCGTTGTAAGGATGAGGTGAGTGTGCCCCTGGGACTTTCATTCTTCTGGGAACTCTTTGGCATAAGGACACCACCACCACTTCACCCTAATTCTCATTCACACTCTTTCTCTTACATGTTAAGTGTGGGTTCTTGTTTTTATTTGTTGTTTTAATTCTGTTTGTCCATCCATGTTACTTTGTTATAGCCACCCAGAGTAATGGCTTGCCACTAGATGGGCAAAGTATAAATCCAATGAATGAATGAATGCTATCGGCTGGAAATCTTGTAATGTAAATTTACACAGTTAAGTCTGATGACATCATCAATCGCAGCCATATTTTGTTAATAAAAAATTTCCTGTCCCCCTTGGGTCCTGAGGAAGCCTTTGGGGAGGGGGATGGAGTTTTAAATGC